ATTGAGAGATTATAGATAGATGCCTTTGCTATCAGAGGAGATGGGTAGTCCATTACTAGCCACCTCCCACTAAACTTTCTACATCAATCAATCACCATTTCTCTTGAGAGAGAGAGAGAGAGAGAGAGAGAGAGAGAGCGCACTTTATAAGGAAGGGGTTGAAGGAGGGTGCCTAGCCAGCAAAAATATAGGAGGAAGCCCACCACAAAGGGCGGGGCCATGGATGAATATCTCCATCACTAGCCATAACTTTTTCTTTTTCCTTCATTCCTACATGTGATTCATGGACTTGGGAGTGAAAACATCAACTTGAACTTTGTCCCTTCCTCTTTGTGCCCTTTGACTAATTACAGACAACAGTAGAGCCCTATTATGTGTGTTCTTTTTGGTTTTTTTGATCCAAGCGATATTGGAGGAGACGGGAATCAAACTTAAAAACTAGGACCACTTGAGCTATAAGCCCCAATTATGTTAAAATGAAATATAGTTTGAGCTGAACTAAAGAAACAAGCAAAGCATTCATAAATTCAATCTTTGGCTGTCTTAAATTATTTCCTGAAAGTGTCATTTACAAAAGTCAAACACGGTTACATATGATTTATATCCTCATATTGTCAAATGGAAGTTGCAACCCTAGCAAATAAATTCAAGCTCTAAAATACTACAAATCTTTCAGGTCCTCCTATTTATACCTTCAAAAATATACACTCGACAGAATTTGAAAGAAAAACAATTTCTGTATTCAATTATCTGTCCAAAGATGAGCTCCTTAACCAGACAGTTAATTTAATTTGAATTGGTTCCTTTGCTTGGCGTCTGTGCCTCCAGATGAATTAAACTTGATCTGCCATTTTTCTAAGCTCAGGAACAGCTGGATGAGAATTAAAATTTGGGAGGTCATATCTAATCAGCACACTGATTCGGTATCAACTAGAACTAGTCCACAAGGAACTAAGTCTGGCAGCAATCTTTGCGCTCTTGTAGTCCTCTCTAAGCTCAATAAACCTGATTTCGGATCCAAATCAA